CCATCTATGGTGATTGAAAGCTTTGCTGGGTACAGTAGTCTGAGTTGTCATCCATGTTCCCTTAGTGCCAGGACCTTCTGGCTTTCAATGTTTCCATTGAGGTATCGGGAATAATTGTGATGGGTCTGCCTTTATATATTACTTGCCTTTTTCCTTCGCTGCTCTTAATAATTTTCTTTATTCTGTAATTTGGTGTTTTGATTATTATGTGGAGAGGGGACTTCTTTTTGTGTTCCAACCTATTTGGTGTTCTGTAATATTCTTGCACTTTAATGGGCGTATCCTTCTTTAGGTCAGGGAAGTTTTCTTCTATAATTTTGTTGAATATGTTTTCTGTACCTTTGAGCTGTATTTCTTCACCTTCTTCTATGCCTATTATTCTTAGATTTGGTCTTTTCATGGTGTCCCATATTCCCTGCATATTTTGTGTTAGGATTTGTTGGACTGGGGATTTTCTTTTGTCACTGACTGTATGTCCTCTAGTGAGTTTTCAACACCTGAGATTCTCTCTTCCATCTCTTGGATTCTATTGGTTATACTCACATCTTTAGTTCCTGATTGTTTATCCAGCCTTTCTATTTCCAGCATTCCCTCTTTATTTTTTTTTCAGACAATTTCCAACTTTATTAAGAACATCAGGCAATTTATACTCTGAGGGTTAAGAATCACACAAATGGTCCAACTTCTGCCTGCCCAACCTGGCGAATCCCTCCCTGGGATCTGCAGGCAGACTGAATAGGTCCCAGGAAATCCTGGGATGCTGACTCTTCTGAGATCACTGGGCTATTCCAACCCCCACAGAGTGCAGAGGGTGCACAGGTGAGCTGCTTCAGCCCCTGCCTTGGGACCAACTCCTGCGTGCCCATGCTGGGAACTCCTGCCCAAGGGTCTTCAGACAGGACAACAACTTGACCACTGAGGAACAAGCAACCCAGAGTCTGCTGACATCTCAGTGCCAGTGTTGCTCTCACCCACCTGGAGAATGAGTGCCTCAGACCTGCCTACGCCCAACTTAAGAACCATCAGAGTATCAAAGTCAATTGCACACACCTGAAGAGAACACTGGATCCATACACACCAGGAAAGGAAGTGACACCAACTATACCCACTGGACGAAGAGAAGGGAAGATGACAATATAAGAACATATCCAACAACAGGAAAACCAATATGACACCACGAGAGTCTGAGGACTCTACACAGTAAGATAAGAACATCCCAACATAGAAGAAGCAGAAGAGAGCAACCTTAAAAACAACTTCATGCAAATGATAGAGAACCTAAGAGAGGAACTCAAAAAATCTTTCAGAGAAATGGAAGAAAAGACGAACCAAAAGATGCAAGAAATCAAGGAAAGCCAAAAAAAAAAAAAAAAAGCCAAGAAAATACAATTAAACAGCTGAAGGAAACAGTTCAGGACCTGAAAACTGAATTAGAGACAATAAAGAAAACACAAACTGAGGGAATGCTGGAAGTGGAAAAGCTGAGTAAACAATCAGGAACCACAGATACAAGCATAACCAACAGAATAGAGAGATAGAAGACAGAATCTCAAATGCTGAAGATAAACTACAGGAAATAAACTCATCAAGCAAAGAAAATCTGAAGTTAACAAATCAATAACACAAAATATCCAGGAAATATGGGACACAATGAAAAGACCAAACCTAAGGATAATAGGTTAGAAGAAGGTGAAGAAATCCAACTCAAAGGAAGAGAAAACATATTCAACAAAATCATAGAAGAAAACTTTCCCAACCTAAAGAAAGACATGCCAATGAAAGTACAAGAAGCCTACAGAACGCCAAATAGAGTGGACCACAAAAGAAAGCCCCCTCATCACATAATAATTAAAACACCAAATGTACAGAATAAAGAAAAAATATTAAGAGCAGCAAGGGAAAAGGCCAAGTAACATATAAAGGCAAACCTATCAGAATTACACCAGACTTCTCCATGGAAACTCTGAAAGCTAGAATGACCTGGATAGATATTCTACCAACTCTAAGAGAACATGCATGCCAGCCCAGACTACTATACCCAGAAAAGTTTTCAATCACTATAAATGGAGAAAAAAAGATATTCCATGACAATACCAGATTTTAAAAATATGTCACCACTAATCCAGCCCTACAGAATGTACTGGAAGGAAAACTCCAAACTAAGGAAATTAACTACGCTTGCATAAACTTTGCAATAGATACTCCCACTCTACAAAAACACAAAATAAAAGGCAGGGTAAATCCACATACAATACCAGTACCAAAAACAAATCAAAAACAAACAAGAATAAACACTCAATGGACCTTAAAGTCCCTCAATATTAATGGTTTTAACTCACCTATAAAATGACACAGGCTAACACATTGGATACAAAGATAGAATCCATCCTTCTGCTGCATACAAGAAACACGCCTTGAATTCAAAGACAGACATTACCTCAGAGTAACACAGTTATAGTGGGAGACTTCAACACCCCACTCTCACCCCTGGACAGGACCACTAGACAGAAACTTAACAAAGAGACAAAGGAACTAGCAGAAGTTATGACCCAATTGGGATTAACAGACATTTATACAACTTTCTATCCAAACACAAAAGAATATACCTTCTTTTCAGCATCACATGGAACCGTCTCAAAAATCGACCACATTCTCAGCAACATAGCAAACCTCAACAGGAACAAAAAAATTGGAATAATCCCCTGTGTTTTATCAGACCACCATACTTTAAAGTTAGAAATCAAAAACAAATCAAAGTGCAGAAAACCTACCAACTCATGGAAATTGAACAACATGCAATTGCAACATTCCTGGGTCAAGGAAGAAATAAAGAAAGGAATTAAAGACTTCCTATAATTCAATGAAAATGCTGATACAACATACCCAAACTTATGGGACACTTTGAAAGAAGTACTAAGAGGAAAGTTCATAGCTCTAAGTGCTCACATGAAGAAACTAGAGAATAACCACACCAGAGATCTGACATCACAGCTGAATGGAACTCCAGAAAAAATGGAAGCAAATTCATCACAGAGGAGCAGACACCAGGGAATAATCAAACTGAGGGCAGAAACAATAAAGTTGAAACAAAGAAAACAATTCAAAGAATCAATGTAACAAAGAGTTGGTTCTTCGAGAAAATCAATAAGATAGACAAACCGTTATCCAAACTAACTAAAAGGCAGAGAGAGATCATGCAAATTTTAAAAAATCAGAAATGAAATGGGGGACATAACAACAGACACTGAGAAAATCCAGAGAATCTTCAGGTCAAACTTTGAAAACCTGTACTCCACAAAATTTGAAAATTTAAAGGAAATGGACAGTTTTCTGGATGGTTATCACTTACCAAAATTGAATCAAGAACAGATAAGCAACTTAAACAGACCTATAACTTCTAAGGAAATAGAAGCAGTCATAAAAAGACTCCCAAACAAAAAAAGTCCAGGGCCAGATGGATTCACTGCAGAATTCTACCAGAAATTCAAAGAAGTGCTAATATCAATACTTCTTAAATTGTTCCACACAATAGAAGCAGAAGGGACATTGCCAGACTCTTTTATGAGGCCACAATAACCATGATACCCAAGCCACACAAGACACAACTAAGAAAGAGAACTACAGACCAATATGCCTCATGAACATTGATGCAAAAATTCCCAATAAAATACTGGCAAATCCAATACAAGAACACATCAGAGAAATCATCCACAATGATCAAGTAGGCTTCATCCCAGGGATGCAAGGATGTTTGAACATATGAAAACCCATCAATGTAATACACCATAAAAACAGACTGAGGAAAAAAAAAAAAAAACATGATCATCTCACTAGATGCTGAAAAAGCCTTTGACAAAATCCCAAACCGCTTCATGATAAAGGTCTTGGAGAAATCAGGGATAACAGGAACATAACTCAATGTAATAAAAGCAATATACAGCAAGCCAACAGCCAACATCAAATTAAATGGAGAGAAACTCGATCCAATTTCTCTAAAATCGGGGACAAGACAAGGCTATCCACTCTCTCCATACCTCTTCAATATTGTCCTTGAAGGGTCCTAGCTAGAGCAATAAGACAACAAAAGGAGATCAAGGGAATACAAATCAGAAAGGAAGAAGTCAAACACTCATTATTTACAGATGATATGATAGTCTACATTAGTGACCAGAAAAACTTTACCAGGGAACTCCTAAGACTGATAAACACCTTGAGCAAAGTGGCAGGATACAAGATTAACTCAAAAAAATCAGTAGCCCTACTATATACCATGGACACATTGGTGGAGAAAGAATTCAGAGAAACATCACACTTTACAATTGCCACAGACAACATAAAAAACCTTAGGGTAACACTAACCAAAAATGTGAAAGACCTGTACCATAAGAATTTTGAGTCTCTAAAGAAAGAAATTAAAGAAGATACCAGAAAATGGAAAGATCTCCCATGCTCTTGGATAGGTAGGATCAACATAGTAAAAATGGCAATCTTGCCAAAAGCAATCTACAGATTCAATGCACTCTCCATCAAAATCCCAACACAATTCTTCACAGACCTTGAAAGAACAATTCTCAACTTTATATGGAGAAACAAAAGACCCAGGATAGCCAAAACATTCCTGTACAATAAAGGAACTTCTGGAGGCATCACAATCCCTGACTTCAAGCTCTAGTACAGAGCTATAGTCCTGACAAGAGCTTGGTATTGGCACAAAAATAGACAGGTAGACCAATGGAATAGAGTTGAAAACCCTGATATTAGCCCACACACTTACGAACACCTGATTTTTGACAAACAATCCAAATATATACTCTGGAACAAAGAGAACATCTTCAACAAATGGTGCTGGCATAATTGGTTCCAGACATGTAGAAGACTGCAGTTAGACCCAAGGCTATCGCCTTGCACAAAACTTAAGTCAAAGTAGATCAAAGATCTCAACATAAATCCAGCTATAGAGAACCTATTAGAAGACAAAGTGGGAAATACCCTTGAATTAATCAGTACAAGTCTTTCTTCAAATACACAGAAGGGTAAAGGCCCGTGCTTTCTTTCCACATCCAGCTAAGAGCATCATTTCTTTGCTTTTCCACAGGAGGGCAGTTCCCATCGTATTTTGGGTCTTGAAACTTATTGTTGTAACAATCAGGAAACAGATAATAACCCCATAAGTGTCTTGGTCGAACTGATTTCCCCAGTTTTAAAGTCTCTTCCATGAAATGCCTTCCTGCCGTTTCAAATTCGTCCTTGGCTTTCTGTGTGGCATCTTCGATGCTAATCCCTGCATTATTTGCCTGGACCAAGGCGATAGACTTATTCCTGTAGACGTCCTTGGGTTTCCAGTTTCTCATCCAAGTGGGCCTCCATTCTTCCCAGTCAATGACAGCTAAGCCAAATTTGTCTACTGGAATATAATGCTCAATATCAGTCTTAGATTTGTCCAGATGATTTTTCAAATTCCCTAACTGAGGAATTCCTCCATGATGCTCTGCTAGCTTTGTATCTAGGTGAGGATAGTAGCCAAGTCGATCAACATAAAATAGTGTAACAGGCTGCCCTGTGGCAGTTTTTCGGGGACTTCCGACTATAGGGAAGAGGCTCAGATCTATTGAGTGGCTAAAGTTTCCAATACAAGCTTCAGTTGGGACATTCCAGACCCAAATTAAAATCTCACTTGGTAGAAGTGGCCCTCCCCTATAATCCACAGTCAAGGAACATGGAATCAGAAGGAAGATTATTAACACTGTCTGGAATGTCGCCCTAGACACAACAAAGCTCCCCCAAAAGAGGTGCTTCAGTGGTAACCCTCCCATTGCACGGAGTAATTACTGTGTAAACACTTATTTCTTCTTAAACACTTAGGTTTGTCCAGTATTTTATGCAAAAGATGAGGAAGATAGTGACATGAGGTCACCGTGACCGATGAAGGTATAATGACTGCTTTCTATTGAAGATTATTCTTCTTGTGTCACATATCAGGAATATTTTGCAGCAAGTTCAATCATCCAGAACTGAAAAAAAGGCAAATATGGAATTCACTGTAGCCATGAGAGCTCTACCAAGTCCTCAATGTTTTATGCAGAGAACTTAACTTAATTTCAAAAGATAGAATGCCTACTATTGTGCTTAAAGCAATAAGATTGTTTTCTCTTGTGTTTGATAACAAATTCTTTAATAATCAGCATTTAGTTAATCTTCAAAAATCATTCCCAATCCCAAAGAGAACTGGATGTAACTATTTTTCTTACTTAATTCCCAGATTTATAGGACGATATATCTGTTCTAATTTAAGAAAAGCATTGCAGGAGAGAAAGATGCCATGAGACAGGGTTCCAGCAGAGGGATTTTTTATTTGGGAAAGGGATCATAAAAGGGGGAAAAAGGAGTTGGGAGACCAGCCTCTGGGGACAGGAGCAGCAGGAGAAAGGAAAGAGGGCAGAGACAGAAGGGGGGAACAGACAGAGAGGAAAATGGTTGGTGGGCGGGGCCCTTTTAAAAGGGAACATAGTGAATATGCACAGGTGGTGCTCTTAGTGGCTGCAGCTGAGGGCATATCCTGTCAGAACCCCAAGGACAGGCCAGTACAGATGCCTGAATACTAACACTATCTATGAACACTTCAGAAAAATGCCAGTTAGATGTATATAAATCCATATGTATTGGTTGTGAAAAATCACTGTCATGATTTGACAAATTTTGAAAACATTTCAAAGAATTGAAAAATAATGAAAAAAATTTTCATTTTTGTAGTGTGTGTGTGTGTGTGTGTGTGTGTGTGTGTGTGTGTGTGTAAATGTGAGGATGGTATTAGGAACTGAACCTAAGACCTTGCATATGCTAGGCAAATACTGAAATGAGTTATATATCCAGTAATTCACTTGCTTGATTGTTTGTTGACCTATTTTTTGGGTCATGGTACTGTTAAGTTTCCCTGGATAGCCTGGAACTCATGATCCTTCTGCCTAAGTCTCACAAACAGCTAGGGTTATTTGCATATAACTATCCCAGCTTGCAACTTGATCTTTTTTTCCTACTTCATTGGTATTTTTCCTGTATTAAATGTATTTTTCAAAACTGTATAAAAATACAGGGACAGTATGAAAGAAAGAAAAAGTCACTTTCTTCCACAGGTACTGAATAAATATACATTTAAGATCACATTAGAACACTGCTGAATCAAATTTTTACAGTGATAACCTCTCACTATTAAAATTAACGAACTGATATATACAGGCTGCCTCTAGTCTTATTAAGTAAAAATAAGACAGGAATTCTGATCTTTAAATAGTGTTTCAAAAGCAAGACTGTTGCCATTCTGACTGATGACAAACTGGAGTGTAACAGCAATGAAATGGTCTGAGGTAAGAACAAAGGAAGTTTTGTGGTAATTAAATTGTGCCTTAATCTTGCCAACAAGAGATTGATAATTTGCTGCTGTTTTACCCTCAACAATTGTCATATGTCTCATGTTGATAGACAATAGGACAGTGAAGCAACTTCGTCTATAGGAATGTTCAATCAGCCTCTGAACCTGAGAACACCTCTGGATAAATCTGACTAGAAGATCATTAAGAGTGCAGCTTAAATATTATGAAGGCACAATGAAGACTAATTATATGCTTGGTGATCTAGGAAAGTGAAGGTTAGCCCTACGCCTAGCAGTTTTTTGTTTTTCAAATTTGAAAGTTACAACTATCGGTTATCTACCTCCCACAAATTCAGTTTCATAGCTGTAATGCTCATGTGTAAAAAACTGAAGTTGACTGAAGTAAAGTAAGGATAAGCTAAGGGGAGAATGGGACAAAGTGGGAAGCATCAGAAAAGCAGGACAAATTATAATAGTGTAATTACATGGACACTGTTAGTTTTCCTGTGTCAGGAAAACAAAAAATAATCTGTTACTCTCAGCTCTCATACCACATCCAACACAGAAGATTTCTGTGACCTTAAAAAGTGTGAATGGTTCTCTTCATCTACAAATAATGAATTCTACAAAAGACCCCAACTAGGTATCTTCGAATTCAGTCTAACTCTGACCCTATCTTCACAGAGATAGTGCTCACGAGCTCACAGCTCAGTATAGAATTCCTCTTCCCCGAATCAGGAGGCAGTCATGAAGTACAGGTGATTTTGATCAACTGGATATACACTAACTTTTCCATGGCCCTCTTTGGATCTCATTAATTTCCTTAAAAACAGAACTCTAGGAAACAGGTTTAATGGATTGTCATCATAGATGTTTTAAAGGACAAGAGTGGAGAGATACAGTGTGTGAGAAGAAGGACAAAGCCCCATGCCTTGCTCAGGTCAAACTCCATCCAGGAATCTCCCCATGATCTGTGACCCGAGAACTCCCAAATTCTGTGCTTTGGGATGTTTGCAGTGACATTATTGCATAGGCATGATGGAAGCATTGATCACTATATGAAATGAGGTTAGACGAGAAAGAACGAGCTAATGCAAGTGTCAAGGCCTGCTATTGCCCTTTTTCTCTTTGTGGAACCCCTTCCATCACACTTGGGACAACACCTTTGGAAAAGTATTCTTATGCTTCTCTATCAAAGAAGGGGAATTCAGAGTGTACTACCCATTAAAAAGCAAAGTCCAGAAAAATCAGTTTCTATGACCTGCCTGGATGAAGAAAAATATTCTTGTACTAGAGGAAAACTATGAAGCAGGAATTAAGAATGGAAATCACAACTATGTTCAATAAAGTCATAATCACATATTGATTTGTTTATATACTGAGTCCAGTGATATAAACCACCTTGATAGACATATACCAAATTGTATGAAACAGTTTGATATGCAACATTTTAGGGACCTGAAACATTTGAATTTGAATCCTTAAAAAGGCCATTCTGGCTGGACAGATGACTCAGAGGTTAAGAGCACTGGCTATTCCTCCAGAGGTCCTGAGTTCAACCCCAGCAACCACATGTCTCCTCTGGTGCTCAGGCAGACATGGAGACAGAAAACTATATACATAAAAAAATACTTTTAAAAGACCACCCTCTAATTAATTTTTCACAGACAGGTTATTTATTGTCTTTGACTTAATCTCTTCAACAACGAGAAAATAATTATTATCTCAGTATCCCTTATCTAATGTATGCAATATCAGTACTGCATTAAGCAACTGAACTTTCTAGATAGTACCAACAGGCATGCAGTCTGACTCAGTCTCAAAGTCCCCTTACCTAGATGTATAACTTTGCCTCATTTTAGACATTTTTGCCCTTATATCTTTAATTGCAAAATATGGATTATAAATAACTATATGAATAGGTCCTTTATGATATTATAAGAATGTATGTAAAACCCTTGGGATAATGACTGTGAAGAAACTCATAATATACCACCCTAAAACACAGTGGTAGTGTGTTAAGCTAATGAGGATTAATCAGATACATAGGATAGAAGGGCTTTCTGATCCATCCCAGAGCAAAAATTGCCACTGTATATTGGCAATACATCTCATAACTGGACACTGGGTGGCTGTTAAAGTGACCCAGTGCTAACAAACTTACTGCATACCCCATATTGTCAACTGTTTTTCTACATATGTCTCCGGGTCACCTCCCCACATAGTAGTTCCTCTAGAAGTTTTCACTGGTCTCGCTTATTCTACATAAATATTCTTTGCTTTAAATGCTTATTAGTATCTTGGCTGTAGATATTTCTTTAAAGCAGTAGTTCTGAATCCCTTCAGCAAGCCTCTATCTCCAAAAACAAAATTTACATTATGACTCATAACACTAGCAAACTTAGTTATGAAATAGCAACAAAAACCATTTTATGGTTGGGGTCACCACAGCAAGGGGAACTGTATTGAAGGGTCACAGCATTAGGAAGGTTGAAAACTACTGCTCCAGGTTTTGCAGTGATTTGAAAGAACATGGCCTCCAAAAGGAGTGGCACTATTAGGAGGTGTGACCTTGTTGGAGGAAGTGTGCCCCTGGGGGGGGGGGCAGCTTCAAGGTCTCTTAAGCTTTCCTCGGTGTGACAGTCAATCAACTTCCTGTTGGCTCTGGGTCAAGATGTAGGACTATCTTCTCTAGCGCCACAGCTGCCTGATGATGCCATTCCTCGCAATCCTCAGGATAATGGACTGAACCTCTGAAACTGTAAGCGAGCCACCGCAAATAAATATTTTCTTTGTAAGAGTTGTTGTGGCCGTGGTGTCTCTTCACAGCAATAGGAAACCCTAACTAAGACAGGTTTCATTATTTTCCCTGTGATGCTTCCTATACATGAGAAGAAAACTGCTGAATAATATTGTTGCTTTGCTCTGATTTGCCTTACAGTTCAATTGATCGTGATTCCCCAAATACAGAACTTCAGGGACAATATAAGGTTTGTTTCTCTTGCCTTGATTACCATTGCCTGAGATACAAGGCCTACTCCACAGACTACAGCTGACATTTTGGAGACATGAGAACCATCAAATGATAAGATGCTTTTATAACATGAGCCTCTGAGGGCTCTGTAGAGTATGGACAATTAAAGCAAAGGTGTTCCTGGAGCATGCACACTTGCTAAAGAGAAAACTGTCCCTCTGGCTCTGACTCATCTATATTGTTAGTCTGTCATGCTGATAATTGTTTCTGCAAACCTATGGACTTTTCATCTCTTCTGATGTTCCAATCATAAATGGACATGGAATTGCTATGGTGTTTCAAACCATGGTGAGCTAAGGTCTGAATGGCAATTGATTCTGCCCTAGCATTCACATTCTGATCAAATTATTTCAACATCCACTATTTCAACATAACTATATTTCTAGAGGTAACCACCACACCTGAGGAAATGA